TTTCTTCATTTTATTTTTTTTATCTCATTTTCAATCACAAGTTCAAAACGGTATTACACTCAATATATTTTTTGAAATGTAGTCGTAACTTTATATTCAAGAATTCTTATAGAATTTGTGTTAAAATTTTACAAATAGAGATTAAAATAGTCACTTTTTAAAAGTATAAGACTTAAAACATTTTGAAAGTACAAGTACAATAACTAAAATGAACCAAAATTAAAAGGACTAAAATAAACCAAAATTAAAAGGTGGAATAACTAAACTAGACATTTTAAAAATAGAGAAGCCAAAATTTGACCAAAGCTGAAAGTAAATGAACCAAAATAGTATTTTAACATTTAAATTTTAGATTGGTGCCTGAATTTTCATATTCAACATTTTAGTCTCAAACATTTGCTGTTTAGGGCATGAGTTCGGCATCTTAATTAAGTCTGGGGTTTAAGTAAGGGTCTTTTTATTTTTGAAATACAACATGTAAGAATGGATCAGATTTGAACTCATGACCTAGGTTTGACGTAGAGCCTAAGTTTAATAAAATCTATGTGAAGGAATGGGTTTGGGATGTCGTTGAAACTTAGGTTTGGTACCACAAACCTTATACAAGAAAAACTCGCCCAAACGTCTACCTCACATAAAAAGAAAATAACTTTTTAAGAATTATATATATGCATTCTAAAATTACCAAAATTATCTAGGAGGTTCTGAATTTAAACTTTTTCTAGTATTAATGGTTCATATACTCTAATATAATTTAACCTAAGTTCTTCAATGCACTCAAAAGTTTGGAAATTTGGAGCACATGTTCTCTTGACTTTACTTTGTGTGTCTAGGACTCAACAACTAAAGAAATGTACTACCAAAAATGGAATTTTAACTACCTCAAAATTCTATAATTGTTTAATCTTCTGCCCTTTTGGGCAAACTTTCTGATATTTTAAATATTTTATTCTTCTGCAAATGTATTTTAAATATTTTTAAATCACACACACTCCTTTTCTTCATTTCATTCTGATATTTGCCCTTTCTATTTTCAATTTTTAAGTATGTCACTAAATAAATAAGGAAAATTTTTAATTTTAGAGTCAATATTAATCATAAAATGTTTAATTTAATAATTTTTATCTTTCATTAGGCTACTAACATTCATCCACTCATATCAACTTGTAGCATACAAATTTACTAAACTTACTCATTTGAACAAAAATCAAGTCCTAACAATAAGACAGAGCGTTAATAATTTAGTGCACATGATTGAATTAACTTGGAATAAAGCTCATAAAACTCTCTAATTTCAATAAAGATTAGCGGACCTCTAGTGTTATAATACATATCACTGGTACAATTTAATGAAATTAAAAGTTTAAGATAAAAATTGAATCACCTCGTCATATTTTAAATGAAAAGAGTCGTTTGGTTCAATTTTTTTAATGACTATTTTTCTAGTGATCGAGCAGTGTTAGTTGTTCTGCATATTTACAGAAATAACCCCAAAGGAGGTGTCATTATCAAAACTATACTATTGTGCTGCACCTATCTCTTATTATAAGCCAAACCCAAAGGTACTGAGAGGGGGTTTCCCTAAAAAAATGGGGACCATGTCTATGTTTTTTTAATTAGATTCTAGGGCATTAACTGAATTAATTAATTCGAAAGTTTTCAACCCCAAACATGGAGTTGAATGAGATATTTTAGAGTTGATATAGTTAAATAGTGTAATAAATAAATAGGATTCCTATAAAATAAAAAATAAAAAAATTGTTCTAATTAATTTTGTATTTTATAATTTCACCTAACTTGGTTTCTTCACTACTATTTGATTCGTGTAGAAAAGAATATGAAGGAGTAGTTGAGATATTATGATAATCTTCAACAGGATGGAAATATATTATTG